TTACTTAAGGAGTTCAGAACTAGTCCAGCAACTGATGAGCATTTAATAGTACAGATCCTGAGAAGGGCCTGATCTTCGCAAGAGTGTACACTTTAAAGTTTCCATATTCTGCTTGCTTTGTCTAGAGTCCTTCCAGCACCACCCCTCCTATCGAGATCTGCTCTTCACGCTTGACAAAGCTGATGCGTCGCACCACTGATAAAAAGAGCGAATTCCTGAAGGCACTGAAAGATGATAGGAACGGGGAGATAACAGAGAGCAGAGAATGTGACAAGCTGGATGATGTAAGATCACTGTCCTTACTGATCACTGTTTTTAAGGAGTTGGGTACTGAAAAAAGCAGTATATGTAATTCAGGCTGTGGGCGTGGAAATGAGTGACTTCCCTTGGTCTGACATACGTGCCAGCGGAGGTAGTGAGCAGCACTGTGATGAAAGGAGATGCATAACATGATGAAATGCAAAAGGATAAGTAATAAATGAGGTGGAAGTGAAGGTGTGACAGATGATGAAGGTAATCTGGGTCTTTGTAAGAATTCTCTAAGGGATGGAACAATACTGCCTTTGATTTCAAACTTCATGTCAAACTACATTCACAGGAAAGTTGAATTTGGTGCTTATAAAAATGTGTAGAATAGAGGCTTAAGCCTCAGGCTTGGACAAGAATCCTAAATGTATAAGTCTGTGGCTTAATGTGTATGTAAGCTGCATCCTTAACAGTGGGGTTTTCATGGTTTTCTTACACTGTGGAGGCACTGATGATGGCTTAGCAATGCCAGCACTTACTCCCCTGACATCAAAGCGCAGTCCATCAAAGTGTCATCCATATCATGTTGTCCTATCACAGCCAGGTAGAAACTGCTTTCAAGTCATTGTCAGTCCAGGCTCTGTTGAAAGCCCTGACTCAAAAGGCTTTGGTTTACTCCCAAGAGCAGAAGCTTGAACTTGGAAGTGTGATATCATGGTGTTCTTTGTGCACTTTGCTTTTATTTTTCTTCAGATGGAGAGCAACAGCACACCAGAACCAAAGGAAAACTGGGAAGAGAATTGCCATCAAAATGGCCTTTCTCTCCCTTTGCCAGAGGAGGGGGAAAACCTCTCTCATTCATTGGAAGCAGAACACAGGTAAGCAAATCGCCAAGTAAGGTGTCTGGAGTAAAAGAGGGCATATCCTCGGACTGTGCAGGAAGGAAACTATTTCAAAGAACTCTCTGGGAAGTACACAAAGCTGAACAGGAGGTGTGGGTTCCATTTCTGTTTGCTGAAGTGGGTGTGGAGTCTTCAAGTAGAACAAACACTGATGACAGCTGAGCCAAGACTTTGCCAAGGTCTGTAATTAAATTCCTGCACTTCCCTAGTGCCACATCCTTATGCATTAATGCTGCCTAGGATTTACCTGCCCACATGGTGAGGCAACATAAACCTAGTGGAATTCCAGTTAATTTATTACTAGGTAATGATCTGGGTTATGAATCAGATACTTGCATACTCATACACACTGGTTTCTCTCTGTCCGCCCTTGGAATACTCTTATGCTGCTTTAAGTTATGTAAAGGTAGCAGAGAGTTAAGAAAATTCTTACTTTGTATCTCAGTTTGTATCTTACTTCAGTGAGTAAGTGGCCTGTGAGCATCTGGTGTAAGTGGGTAGTAATTTCTGGAAGATCTTGAGTTGAGTTGCTAGTTTGTCTCATGTCCTTCTTCACTGTCCTTGGGTAGAAGTTCAGATGTTTGGTTTTTTTCCTTCTGCCAGACTAGTTATTTACCCATTGTATGGAAATGCTGATGATTAAATATTTGTAGAAGACATTGAGTAAGAAAAATATTGGGTAAACGCTAAACATTAAGTGATCTGTAATGCAGAAGATTCCCTGGTGAACTCAAAGTAATTTAATACAAAACCTTGTGCTTCACGGACAGACTGTTCTCACCTCTGTCATTGTTCCATTGCTTTAATTCCTGTGCCCCTTTTTTTTTTTCTTTCATGTATCAGGTTATTGAAAGAAATGGGATGGCAGGAATATCCTGAAAATGATGAGAATTACCTTCCCCTCACAGAGGATGAGCTCAAAGAGTTCCAAATTAAATCAGAGCAGGTATGTTCATAACTCTTGCCATTTATGCATAAGTCTTCTGTAGTGCAGTGCCTAGGATGTTCTAAAAGACTAAGAGCAGAAATGAAACTGGATTGCAGTTGATGACCCTACGTTATCCATAGAGAGCATGTGTAAATACAAGTGAACATAGAACCGGTATCCACAGATGGTTGGTGACAGTTGCTCTCCGTAGTTGTGCTTATTTTAAAACTTACTTTCATTCCCACAGCGAAGAAGAAACGGATTTGGGAAGAATGGATTTCTTCAGGGCCGCAGCTCCAGCCTGTTGTTCCACTGGAGAAGCACTTTTAAGACAAAGATTGAGGACTCGGAAACAGAAACTAGTAGCAGCGAGACTTCAGATGACGATGCCTGAGAGTGGGCACAAGAAAATTAAAATAAATAAAACCAACCCAATAAACTCAGTTCATAGTTCAACACGTGTTTGGGGTTGTATAAACTAAACAGAGTTTATTCTGTCTCCAGTCTGTTCAGTTTTTTCTTCTGTTGATACTTCATGCACAAGGGAAATAATTGTATCCCAAAGAAGAGAGAAATTGGCTTCTTTAGCTTTTTCTTTTGGTTTTGCCCTAATGCTTAATAGAAGTTTGTGCAGCTAGCAAATTTTGACAGAAATCCCTTGTGGGGCAGTGCACAAGTTCAGTCTGGTAAGCAGGATACAAGTGGCTGACTGATCTTTGCAACAGCAAGCTTCTAACAGTGCCGCCCGCATTACACAATGTTGTGCGGTAACAAATGTGCTAAAACAATCATTGTCAATGACAAAATGGCTATTGAAGTTCTAATTATGTTAAATTAATGCTAATAACATGAATTTTTTATTTTATTTTATTTTTTTTTTTGGCGGCTCGGGGAGCTTCATCACTTAACCAGGCGTTTGTGGTTTTCTTTTTTTGGGTACAGCTGTAAAATATTTGGATATAGGAATTGTTTGTGTTCTTCTTCTTGCAGCCTTGATATTCAGGGTGGATTGTAAAATATAAATTTTTTGTGAGATTTCAAAGATTAAGATTATTTTGATAACATTATTTACAGATTTAAAAAAGTGACTATCACATTGAGTCTGTATGAGGGGGAAAAACTACTGCATCAAAAATAACTAACTTGGAATAAATATTTTGCATCAGTTTGCCAATTCTAATTGTCTTTCTTATGTAAGAAAAGCTTTCCTCTAAAGGGATGTGCAACTTCGGGGTTCAAATAGCACTGGGGATAAAGAGCTGCTTCTCCCACTGTGTTTTTTCCACTTGGCAAACATTGCTGTAGTGCTGGGACTGCAGAAGCTGAACTCTCCCTTTACAAAGGGAGAGGGAGAGAACAATGGAGAGATGACAGCCCGTGTTCGTTGTTTTTGGTTTTTTTTTAAAGACATTAAAGAAAATAATTTGAATTATCTTCCACTCCAGCAGTTCGCTTTATTTTCCGCTTCATACGAAATAGTGGAGCTCGACCGGTCGGTGTCACTGCCTGTTCCTGGTGCAATGCTGCTGTCTGTGTTCACAACGTGGCAAGGGAATGTCTGAATCCAAAGCTGTTTTCATTGAAATCTTTTTTAAAAAATCATGAAAACATTTCTATTAGATTAAAAAGGATTTTACAAACAACTCAGGTGTGGCCTAAGCTATTTCAGTGTCTGTTCAGCCGGTAACACGAGCCGTGGGTCGGAAGGCAGCTGCGCGTGTGTGGCTGGGGCCGGGCCGGGGTCGCGCCTCAGCCGTGAAGCCGGGCGTCGCGGGGCAGCACGGCTCGGTCGTGGAGCTGCTACAAAAGCCAAGGAACTGGGTAAGTCGAGAAGACCCCCCGACCGCGCATCCGGGCCGACAGCCGCTCGTGAGCGGCGCTGGGCGCCTGTGGGTCCCCGCGTGAAAACGGGCCGCGCAGCCCTCACAGCTGCGTGGCGGAGCGGGGAGCGCTGTAAGCGCAGGTGAAGCCAGCCGGGCGTTCCCGCCCCGCGCCGAGGGGAAGCGGAGCCCCGGCCTGAAATGGCGGGCGGGCGGCGCGGGGCGGAACGCGGCCTCCTCCAGCCGCCCCGGCCCGGGGAGAGACGGGGAGCGGAGGGCGCTGCGGGGGGAGCTGAGAGAGGAAGCCCGAGGAATCGCGCTGCGGAGCTGAGCGCCGGGAGGGCGGCCCGCGGAGCAGAGCCGGGACGGCCGGGGCGGAGCGGAGCTCGGCGTGCCCGGCGCTGTAGCAACAGCGGCCTCAAACACCGCCGGAGCGTCCCCGAGCAGGTCGGTGCGGGCGGCCCGGGGCGGGGAGGGCCGACGGGCACGGGTGTTTTGCAGGAGCCCGATGGCGGCCGGCGGAGCCTTCGTCTGCCCGCGCTGCCGCATGGCCTTCGGCTCCCGGGCGCTGCTAAGGGCGCACCGCGAGCGGCTCTGCCTCGGGGAGCCTGGGGGGGAGCCGGGAAGGGCGGAGGGACCGCGGGAGCCGTCGGTAGCGCGGGGCCGGGGCTGGGCGCGGGGCTGGGACGTGTCCGCGGGCCGCGGCCGCAGCTCCTCCGAGAGCGGCCGTGCCGCCCGTCCGCCCGTCGTTGAGCAGTTCCCGCCCTCCCATCCCGTCCGCCTCTTCGAGGCCGCGATGTCCCAGCACGAGGATCGCCCCAAGCGCCGCCTGCTCCTGCTCTCCGGGCTCCCTCGCTTCTCTCTGGGACGTGAGGGCGCGGGGCGGGCCCGCGGGGCGCCCCTGGGTGACGTCCTCACGCCCCGTGAGCGGGCGCTGCTCCGCGCCCCCGCTGCCAGCCGGCCAGCAGAGCGGGTGAGACCGCCCCACCGGCCCCGCTCGCCTGCAGCGTAGTGCGGGGTCACCCCGCGTCCCGCGGGCTCGGCCCCTGCCGCCACGGCTGCCCCTGTGCCCCAGGGAGAGCCCGGCCCGCCGCGGGGGGACCCACGGGCACCGGAGCTGCTGGAGGCTCATCAGCGCCACGTGGCCGAAATCCGGGCCAGGACCCGACAGCTAGAGCAGCAGAGAGAGCGTAGGCACCGGCACGGGGTGCGGGGCGATGGCTGTGGTTCTGGAGTGACCGAGCTGTGCGTCCCACAGAGCTGTGCCAGCACCTGGCATTGCTGTGCAACAAGCGTCCGTCACCAGAAATGAGTCGGGCCGCAGAGGTGCTGTCAGACAAAGCTGGACACCAGCACCGAGGGTGAGCCCTGCTGCATGCTGCCCAGAAAGGGACCCGTTGTCCTCTGGACCCCAGTTTGCTTATATCCTCCCCAGGGCTGCCCTCCACCTCGACACCCTCCTGCCACCTTCTGGGCCACTGTCAGCTGAGGCCAGGTGAGAGCTGAGGGTGGGGCGGGAGCCCAGCAGAGCCCCAGCCACCAGGGCTCATGCCCGCGTCACGGCAGGGCTCTGCGGCTCTCCTACCTGCATGCCGGTGGCCATGACGAGGCCACCCTGGCACAGCTGTTAGACCTCCAGCTGGAGGCCATGGCGCTGGAGAAAAAGGCTGCACAGAAGATGAGTAAGCACCAGCCCCAGCACAGAGCCCAGGGACAGGATACCATTGCTGTTGAGGCGGCACGGGGCCTCGATGCGGCACTGATGGCTGTGGAGCTGGAGAACCAGCGGCTCGAGGATGAGCTCCTGGCACTGAAGGTCCGGAGGGAGATGCGAGTGGATGTCGGTGGGTGACTGGGAAGTGGAGCAATGCCCATTTGTCTGTGAGGTGGCAGCCGAGTGAGTCTGAGCTACTGTTCCCCAGGATCACTGGCAGCCCGGCAGAATGCAGAAGTGGCTCAGCTGCAGGCAAAGGTGGAGATGCTGCTGCGACACCAGGCAGAGGAGATGGGGCCGCGCCCGCCCCCTGCCGTCCTCCCACCGCCCGTGGCCCCTCCGCTCCCCGCAGCCTCAGCTCTGGCGGTGAGTCTGCTCCTAGTGTTGCAGGGGTAACTCTCACCTTGGGAGGGGCTTTCCAGGGTGTTGACTTGGTACTTGCTCCCTGGCTGCAGCAGGACGCGTTCCCTCTGTGAGTGCCGAACTGCAAGTGTGATTTGCTCTGTGCTCCCGGTGCCCAGGGGGCCCACCCCCATTAAAGCTGCCTTTTTCCTTCCCCAGGAGCCATCGAGGACAGGCAGCCCCACAGCCTCCAGCCGCCCACTTGCACCCTCCAGCCTCCCCAGCATCTTCTTTGGAGCCCTGGATGACCCCCCTCCTACTCAAGAGGCACCAGCTCAGCTCAAAAGCCCGGAGAGGTGAGGCCAGGATGAGCTGTGCCCTGTCTCATTGCTCAGGCAACAGAGAGCTGACTTCTGATAAGGGACTTTTTTTTGTGATGATGCACTTCTGAGCTCAATCACATTCTTTTTCCCCCTTCCCCTACTGCTCATTCCATTAGACGCTTCTCAAGGTACATTTAGGAAAAGCTTAACAGGAGGCATTCAAGGCTCAAACTAGGGAGCAGCAAAACCCACGGCACGATTTCCTCTATATCCTGGGACTCATTGTGGTAGGTGTGTGAAATAAATGGCTTCTATCTACAGCTCTTCACCTCCTGACCTTTTTCAGGGTACAGAATATCAAGTTCATTGTTTGCAGTCACATCCTGAAGAACAGAGCTGTGCTACTGCTCTGAAGTAAGATGACACAGAAGCAGCAGTAACTTTGCAAAAAGGAGTTCAGCCATAGCAAGCCAGGAGTGCGGGGAGGGAGCATAGAGGGACTACAGCCTTCTGCCACTGCAGCACACAGGCAGGGAAGGTACCATGCCACAGTAACTGGCCAGAGAGACGCTAACAGCCTTGCCTCCCTGGCACCCTACTACAGGCTCAGGACTTACACTGCCTCCTCTTGCCCCAGCTCAACCCTTTCACAGCTCCATGTAGAAAAGAAAGGCTGCAGCAGAAGAGCAGGGAGGAAGGAGCTTGAGAGAGAAACAGGGTCAGAACAAGGAACATTTGCTTACAATCTTTATTGAAGTCATACAAAAGTTGCCAAAAAGTGAAAAAATACACTATATACAAAACCATTTTCCTTTGAAGGAGAGGAGTGTCCAAAGCTAAAGAATTATCATACTGTGCTTTCAACTGCAGCCCCTGGTTCTGCTTGTGGCCTTTTCTCTGTCTAAAAGGAAAGAGAAGTATTTGATTTTTAAAAATCAAACACTGTATTACAGCACCAACTCATGCAGCAGTTAGTTTCTTTAATTTCAAGACATAACAGTGCATGCTTTGCTCTTCTCCAGAGCCCAGGACTACTCTGAAACAGTGGCAATTGTAGGCCAAGTTAAGAATTTTAAAACCTTTAAGCATTCTACTACAGAAGTGCTCTGGAGAAGGGCTTTGTGCTGTTGTTCAACCCAACTCAGACATGCAGAGCCCCAGCACATATTTCTGTCCCACCCTTTGGCTGCAGGTAGCCAAAGTTGGCATCTTCCCAGCTCACTCAGCATCAGACACCTCAGTACAACATGCAGCCTGGCAGCTTGGGAATATTCCCTATCTTCACAGGGAAGCCTGTGAAGACCAACAGGCAATAAAGCCAGTATATCAGCAACACATGAAACCATGCACAAAGCCATGCCTGGACAGAGGGGGAAGAAAAAAAAAAAAAAATGTATGCACAGAGTCCTGACTCAACTGCCCACCTCCTCTTCCATTTTTTCTGCAACCTCATTTCCACTGGGGGCAGCGTCACCACCGCCGCCATTGACAGCCGGTTCTGCTTTAGATTTCTTAGCTTCATTGTCTCCCTGGTGCGTCTCCTCCTCTGGTTTCCTCTGAAGACAAAATTGTTTAGTCTTCACTATGTACAAATTGAAGTATTTTTAGAAAGTTAGCATCTAGATGTCATTGTACATCACTTATTTAAGCTCTACTTGCCCGGTTCAGGAACTTAAGCGTTAGGGTTTAACCAAAGCTCTGAAGCACAAACATCTCAGAGTATAACCAGAAGGATTACGCAAGTGCCAGTAGCTATAGTGCTGAATTACCCTTATAGTTTGACAGGGGAATGAGTTACTGTTGAGCTAGGTAACAGCTAAGTGAATAGAGGGTATTCACAGTCACCTGTGTAAAGCAGATCAAAGCTGCTGCTGACAGACTTGAACTCAAAGCAGCTGGTGAACACAAGGCAGGCTGTGTCATAACAGTATGTAATATAAAAACTAAGATTCCATACAGGATAATTAGCAGTATGAACAATTCTGGAAAATACCTATGCTCTTAAAGGAACCTTGTATTCAATATATATCCTGTTCTCTGAGTAAGAGACAGCTTAGCATAGCTATACACTAGGACTGGCTTTGCTATTTTTCAAGTTCAATTCTCCATTTCCACTTGGAAAGAAGGGAACCCAACTCAGCCTGGTTGTGTCTTCATTTTAATTTTTGAATATTTATAGGCTGCCCTGCTCCTCCTGCAGTTTCTCCACAGAGCAGGGCATTTGCTCAGTGGACATCTCCAGAAGGCAAACAATTCAGCCCTGCAGTTACATCATTGTGGTCAGGTATGGTGCTGAACCATCACCAACACATCTGGAGGCTGGATGGTTCCCAGACTGATTACCTCCCAGTGGAAAGGAGTTTTACACACTATTTTTGTTACTACTTTTAAGTGTTCTTCCAGGCTTCAGAGTAAAAGCTCTAAGCCAAGAAATCCAACAATAGAGGGCAAAACAACGATACTCTGACAAGCTGTTTATTCTATTGGTCTTTGGTGTACTTACCTTTTTCCTGACCAGGTGAGAGATGTCTGTAACACACTGAGATGCTCCATCAGCAGCTTTTCTTACTGGAATCTATTAAGGAATAGACACTGACACGTCAATAACAGCAAGCCATAATCCTTAGAGCAGACATGAATTCTCAGCAACTTTCTCTGCCCAACTTACTGTAGAAACAGAGCCACTGCCTTCACTTTGTGCAAAACCAGATGTAGTTCCAACCTAGAAAAGCAGAAGAAATAGTTAACAAGCACACTGTCACCTATTCATAAAAGGCTGCTACAGAGTTTAGGAAGTAGCAGAAAATCCAACTGTATGTTACTGCATTCTGCTTCTACACTTACATATAGCAGAGACAGAACAAAAGCTCATGTAGCGATGTAACAGTCGAGTTTCACGTTTGACTTAGACCTATTGCTTAGAAGCCTAACAAATTCATGTTTAGGTTGGAACAATTAATTTCAATATATTTGCTATTAGTCCTATCTGTAGATTTTAACTGCATTAGTTAACTTCTTGCTCTATATGAACTCTCCCATCACTGGTTTACTTCAAGCCTCGCTAGAATAATGTTTGGTTCAAAGGAAAATGCAGGACACACTAACCAGAGTTGCTTTCAATGCCAGCTCAGCTACCCTTGCACTCTTTTGAGACTCCTTTGAATCCTCTATCTTTTCTTTGATTTCGGGGAGAAGTCCCTTCAGTTCTTCAATCTCCTTCTCATCTTCGGGGGAACCACTTTCTGCCTTCTTTATTCGTTCAGTAAGCATTGCTAGAATGACAAAGTTATCATGGCAAAAAAAGCCTCAAGGCAAAGTAGCTGTCTCATTGCAAATACCACAGAGGCAAGTGCCCACCAGCAGATGCTGTTTTGACAGTTCTGATGTTAGTATGGCCTGTTAGCAAACATTTGCATCGCAAACTGGTTTTAGGGCAATTTAAAGTTAGTGTTGATCTACAAAAGCTCTTTAGTAAGCTAGGCAATTTTAGGGAACTACTTACCCATTCTCTTGTCAATGACTTCTACGGATTTACCAAACTGCAGAACTGCCTCATCAAACTGGCTGTTGTAGTGGTATGCCAGTGCCAGCTGGTAGTGGCTTTCAGCCAGCAAGCGGTCATGAGCTTCCAGGTATTTCTGCTGCAGGGCCAGACAGGCCTGAAACTCCTCTATAGCTTGCACATAGTTCTCTATGGAAGCAAGCCATAAGGTCTTTACAAAGAACATATTTTACATATTTCATTCCACCTTACGTAGTCTGAAAACAGAACTATTATTGAATACAGGTTGAGCTCAGTAACAGGATACTTTCCTGTCATCAAATGACAGCACTCACAGTCCAACACTGCTTAGGGTCTCCTTCTCCTACTCCTCTCAAGAGGGCTTTGTGTATTTACACCACAGTAACCTAAGGAAGCTTTCCCAATTTCTGAAGCTAACCACATCTCTATGAAACACTGTGTTCTGCTTTAACCTGATAGTACACCAGTTCTAACACAAAGCTTTCTTTTGCTGCTGCAGGGAAGCACGGTACAGCTTCTTTAAGAAACTTCCTTGGGTTCCCCGTTAAGAAGTTTGTCCTATGGCTGTACTGTTATAATTAAACAAAGTTTGGTTGTTTTCATTTTTAACCACTCCCCAACCTTCTCAGCCTTAAGTCACCTCTACTCATTTTTGAGTATGAAATTAAACATGACAAGATTTAACCTAGCACTTCATACACAACAATTTGCACTACTTACCAGATTCAATGCTGACTTCTCCTAGCTTTAGATGAGCTTGAGCTGCATGAAGCTGAGCTTCTTTTGTTTCTTGCCTAAATCAAGGGAAAAAAGCTGTTTTCAAGTCTTCAGAATATGCAGCATTATGCTACACTACCTCCCAACTGAGGGAGTTTCTCTAGCAAACATTCAAATTACAGCCTCAGATTTTACCTCTTATAGATGACTTTGGCCAACTCCAGCATGTCCCAGGCTAGCTCAAGATTTCCGATTTCTTCCTCCTCACTTTCCTGTAAAGACCAGAAATGCATAAAATATTAAGGATACGTACCACATTAAACAACTTTATGCTTTTAAGCAGTGTTCCCAAAGAATGCATTTTAACCAAGAGATGAATGCTTTGCTGATAAAAGGAAAAACAAGGTGTTTCAGTGGAACTTAAGTTTACATCGTCAGTTGATATGGCCTCCTCTCTCTCCTCCTGCCCCCAGAAATAACGGGACACTAAGCAGCAATATTCTCCTACCAGTGAGTTTTCCAGTGTGAACTGCTACATCAAGATAATTCTTCAGAGTTAAGCAGTGCTACACTTGCCACTGGATTCCCAGTCTTTATCACCACTTACTGGACTGAATGCACTCAAACTAAGTAACCAGACAGCAAAAACTGACTAAGAACTGTTACAATTAACTTCAGTGAGAAACCAAGGCCAGCCTCCCCTCCACCAGGCTGCCTCAATGACCTACAGAGCACAAACATTTGTTTCAGTGCAGCTGAATAAGCACCAGTTTACAGACAAAAATTAAACGACCCTACAAGGCACTGATGCCCCTCTGTTAGGTAACATTGGTTTCACCACACAGAACTTATTTTCTGTACAGGACTAAACAAAATACAAGTGAGCTTTCATAAACTTAAAGATATTCATGTGACAGACCTTGCATTCAGGAGCACCGATATCAGAGCTCAGCAACCTCACCTTGTCTTCCACTGCCAATTCATTCTCCTTGTCATCTTCGGCTTTATCATTTTCTTTATCTTCCTCTTCAGATTCTTCTGTTTCTGGGAGGAAAGCAGATGAATGAGAACACTTGTTGTTACTGTGCTGCTTCACACAGAGCCAGGCAGAATATTTTATCCGGCCCTCATCCTTTCAGTGAGATGTTAGAAGTGTGATTAAGAGCAGAATTATTCTCAGCAGCAGCCATCTTGCTGAAAGCGTTGGGCACTGTGAACTAAGGTAGTTCCAGGCAACCTCAGTTTATATTTTAAAATTTAGCTTCACAATGCCAGCATGAAAACTTACCTAAAATTGTTCTAATACGTGGTGAATTCCCACTGAAGCCATGGAATCCTGAGCAGCCCTAGAGGTGCTGGACAGTTGCTGGGACTTCATGCTACAGATAACAAG